ATATAACCTCACGGTACTGTTATGTTATTGGGACTGGATTAAGAAATGTATGCACGTATGTATGTATGTGCATATATGTGCACACATATCTTCATACAGTACCAACCTTCCTTTTTTTTTTTTTTTTTTTTTCTTTAATAAATGACTAAAATGATAGTTATTTTTGTTTCCATTAATGGTCGATGATGAAAATATTATTACATGCATTGGGGTTCTCCAGAACTTGAACATTGTCAGTGTTCCATAAGCGTGAAAAAGGTTGAAAAATGCTGATATAAGCGAATATAAGAAAATATATGGCAACATAAATGAACAGATATAACACCAAATGTTATCTCTATTAGTCAAGAAATAATATAGCAAACATAAAAAAAAGTACGGCAACACAAATAAAAAGATGTTGCCACTCAGTGCTATCACCATGTATTATTTTTGAGGAAATTATATAGTGAATACAAAAAACAAAAGAAAAAGTAAGGCTATACAAATAAAGAGATGCTGCCACCCAGTGTTATCACCATGTAATATTTTTGATGAAATAATATAGTGAATGTTAGAAAAAAGGATGGAACATTATTTGGGGAATTCTAAAGATATAAAATATAAAATATTTTTAACTTGTGGCACTTTGTTGCCATTCGGTGAAGTGTAAAATATTTAATTTTTCTTTTAAATGTAATCTGCCTATTATTGATTAACAAATTAAGCAATTTTAAACAAATAAATACAATTCTCTATTTTTTGTTTATGAATTAGCAGTTGGAAATATGAAATTACACTTGCTGATTTATTAAAAGCATTATAGTCAAAAGTCTTTAATCCGGACTCGTCGGGACTTTGGCGATTCTGGATTATAGATCATAAGTTTAAATCTGGTAAGATGGCATGCAGAAATTATAAAATTAAAAATATGAAACTGTTATTTATGAAATAAAGAGCAATTATTATCTAAAAGGTATCAAAATTCACAAAATAAAGAGCTTAATATTTATTTGTTTACTTTATTAAACATTTCTTTCAATGTAAGTTGTTTAAGTTGTTTCGTTTTTTTATGTGATAATACATTCTCTTTAATTCTATAAACAGACATAATTTCTTGTTCAGTTCCACTGTTCAAGTCCTGTAATTGCTGTGTCAAGAATATCGACTAACTTGTTAATTGAAATTTTTTCATTTTCAATAACCTCTCTGTCACTTTCTTCACTATCAGAAGCGGTACATTAAAACATGCTTTCGCTTTGTAGATCCTTTGGCAGCTCCAGAATCGGAAACTCTTTTTGACATAATTTAAAGTTCAAGCTCACTTTTTATGAAATTGCTCTAACAGTCTGCATTTATTAAAAAAAAAAAAAAAAAAAAATTTGCCGGATCCAATTAGAGGATTAAGGAACAATGCAATCTGCAAGTTTGTAGCTTTGAGGTCCGGATTATAGATCATTCTGGATTATGGACGTCCAGATTAAAGACTTTTGACTGTATATTTTTTTCTTGTTTATAGAAACTATTTACCGGGTGACCAAAAAGTCAGTATAAATTTGAAAACTTAATAAATCACGGAATAATGTAGATGGAGAGGTAAAAATTGACACACATACTTAGAATGACATGGGATTTTATTAGAACCAAAAAAAAGTTTAAAAAATGTTATCAGGCCTTTTTTCTTCGAGGAAATGAGTGATTCTGGTTTTGTTACTGCTACCATGACGGGCGAGAGGTATGCCGATATGTTACAGAATCGCATCGTCCCCAGCCTGGCTGATAAACACCTGCTGGAACGTACGATTTTTATGCAGGATGGCGCTCCACCCCATATTGTTAGACACGTGGAAGATCTCTTGCACGCGTCGTTTGGTGATGATCGTGTGCTCAGCCACCACTTTCGTCATGCTTGGCCTCCCAGGTCCCCAGTCCGTGTGATTATTGGCTTTGGGGTTACCTGAAGTCGCAAGTGTATCGTAATCAACCGACATCTCCAGGGATGCTAAAAGACAACATCCGACGCCAATGCCCTCACCATAACTCCGGACATGCTTTACAGTGCTGTTCACAACATTATTCCTCGATTACAGCTATTGTTAAGGAATGATGGTGAACATATTGAGCATTTCCTGTAAAGAACATCATCTTTGCTTTGTCTTAATTTGTTATGCTAATTAGCTTTTCTGATCAGATTATTGCTTTTCTAATAAAACCCCATGTCATTCTAAGTATGTGTGTCAATTTTTACCTCTCTATCTACATTATTTCATGATTTATTAAGTTTTCAAATTTATACTGACTTTTTGATCACCCGGCATTATAAGTCAGCAGTTAGTTATTTGAAAAGTGAAATGGACAGAAAAATTTAAATTTTAGAATAATAACAAAAGAAAGTGAAAAACCAAAGAAAGTGATATTTCATTATAAAGTTAAAAAGTGTAAAAATGTTGACTTGGCATGAGTGAGTCCATGAGCAGATAGATAAACTGCAATTCAATAGCAGCACAAAGAACTCCAAACTTGCTGGTACAATTATACATAAAAATATCATGTTTGTGAAAAACCTATGTTTAATGATATTCAACACATCCATAATTCTGATATGCATTATGACTGCATTCTATTTGCCTCACATATTAAATCTTTTGAATGTTTCAAATATTAAAATTAAACATTAGATAGTAAAAAAAAAAGCTCTCCCTTATATTCTCAAACTTTACATGAGATTATCAAATATAGCAATAAAGATGAGCATATACACAGAATTATAATTAAAAGAGTAATATTACTTGAAAAGAGAGTCACATTAAAGTATTTTATCATTTTGTAAGATCTCAGTTGCTTCGTTTTTAATAAAATTCATAGTTCAGATACCATATCAGATTTGAATTCATAGGCAATTATTAGCAACACTGTCATTTTTGTTACCAGACCAAACATTTTAGTTACCTTTGAAGTTTTGCATTAAAGAAGCCTGAATTCTCATGTCTGATAAATCTTTAAAACTAGTATTTATTGGCCCTTTGATAATTATGCAAAAACCTATTTTAAACCTTAATTAGTAAACAGGAATTTTTCAAAGCCTTTACTAAAATTTCTTAACTTATTAGTTTTAACTCTATTTAATCCTGTCTTAACAAAAAGTTTGAAAGCTTTACATCATCATCTTTTACTTGCTTCAGTTGCAGTATAACATAGAGAAATATATGTGTCAAAAACCATTCATTTACTTATTTTTGCTTTATTACGTTATTTTATTTAAGGAATAAAGTTTCAATAGAATTATTTTTCATGAAAAAAAATTGGTTTGTGCCATTCACTAAAATAAACAGAACATTTCAGGAAAATTAACAAGCTGAAATGCTTTCTTTTCTTCTGTTAATACACTGATTTCACAAGAAATATGACCTTCACACTAATTAGGATTAAATGCATCTCAATAAGAAACATGGTTTCACATATGTAAGGATTTAATTTTTCTTCTTCATAAGTATCTGCAATTCCTATTTCAGTTCAAAATTTATTGCTGCCCAACAACTAGTAACATTCAGGTTTGTGTTTCTGAAATATGTACACTGCACTTAAAAAAAAAAAAAAAAAAGAAGAGAGAGAGAGAGAGAGAGGACAGTTATATATTTCCAGTTCTACTGGGCTGAAGCGTGACTTAGGATATATATTAGATTTATATATAGCATTGTTCTAACATCAGTATTTTGACACAAAATCGGATTTTTTTCTGAACTAATATATAGTAAGTCGCGCTTTCGAGAGATGAAAAACGCAAGTTGAATTTCGTCAATCGGCCCAGTAGAACGGGAGATACAGAACTGTCCCCCCCTTTTTTTTTGTGCAGTGTACATTATGTGACGTTTAATTGCGATCACATTTGTCCATGGCTATTTTGATATCATTCAAAAGTGAAAAAATATTCTACAAAATTGGAATTTAATATAAAAACCATGGAATTTAATATAAAAACGACAAGAAACATATAAATAAGGACTTTCAAACAATTTTAATTAGAAAAAGGCAAAATTTTGTTTATGAACTTTTCATAATGTCTTTAATGCAGTAGTTCATTTATGAATTGTTCATAACATTTCTGGAAGATATTTGATAGATGCTCTACTCCTAATCTTAATACTCAAACAGCATCCCCTCATTTACTGAAAAGAGAAAATACAGATGTAGAATTTAAAATTTAAATAGTAACCTAACTTTAACATAGATGTTTTGAGGTTCGCCCCCTCTCCCTCTTTCCTTCTTTTTTAAGTAGTAGGGGGGGGTAATTCTGAAGAGTTTTTTTTTATCCTTCAGAATAGGGAACTTTGTATGATCATCCTCAACATGAACAGAGTTATTCAAAATCGAAATTAAACTAAGGATACTTTTTTGCATAATTTTAAATGGTCAACTAAAATTGGAACCAAGCTTTTTGGTAACATAATTTCTTATTTGGTGACATTTTTCTGAATCTTGGTAAATTTCATAACCTATTTTGACCTTATTTGGCAACTTTGTTTTGATTTAAAAAAATTTATTCTATAATATTTAAAAAATATTGACTTGTTGATCAAAATAGCGATGTATTTTCCATGTTTCCGTACACAAATGAGTGGGGCTTCAGCATTTTGATAGCAATATCTGAATGATAACACTAACCGCAATCCCATTTACCTCCTGTAACGCTAAAATATTTTAAAGTATTTCTTAAATAATGAAAATGAAATTAAATCAGTATTTTCAGGACTTATTTTATCTTAAACATATTGTATAAATACAGTAAATGTATTAGAGGTTGCTACTTTATTCACACTTACATGCATTATTATAATTAACAAAATAACAAAATTATGAAAAATATTTACAACATTATTATTGAAAAAAAAATTTTTTTTTCCGATTTAATGATTTAAAAAAGATTTCCAACATGAAATTTTACTAAACATGACAAATATTTTAAAAAGTTTATAAATGAATATATATATGGGTGTTAGGATATTTATGTATGTGAAACATACCTGGTGTATTACTTCCAAACCTAGTATTATCTTTCGCATGGACTTCATCAGTCTAAAAAGTGGTATTTAACAAATTAAAATTCATTAATACTTTTTTAAAATTTATTATCAACAGAATTTGTTGACTAATTCTTAAAATGTTACTTTAATTGGTCTTTTCAAATTTCGCCATGAGGTGTCTGTCCTTGGATCAACCATGCAAACCTAAAATGAAAAACTTTCCATTTTACAACTTCATTTTTCAAACTACAACTGAACATACTAAGCTTCAAAATAAACGGGGCAATACCTCACACAGTCTGGCTTTGAACAGTCTAATTATCAGTAGAGTAGTCCAGTTTAAAAAAAAAATAAAATAAATAAATAAATAAAATAAATAAATTAAATTTTAATTGAAAAAATGAAGATAAATCCTAAAAGAATTAGTATACAAAATTATTTGTTAATACATTAAATAATCATTTTCTGCCCTTTTTACAGCATTCTATGTTCATTTTTATGTGATTTTAAGGTTACGCGGTAAGAAACTAGATAAAAAAATAAACGCGCATGTGCAACTTATTAGATGATGACTGCATCAAATTCTGTGCATGAATAATAAACAAAAATTACTGAAATGGTCGAAACCTTTGTAAGATCATATTATGAAAATTAATCACAATATGTCACCTTATGCAACAAACAATAAATAATACAATCCATTGAAATAAATAATAATGAAAAAATAAAAATCTGAAAGCCTTCAGATTTTACATTACGCCCAAAGGGCCAATGTTCTTTAACATTTGGTGTGTTACCTTTATTTATTAAATATCATGTTCTTCGCACTTAAACCATAAAATTCAGTTCAACAGCAATATCGCAAAATGCAAGGTGTGACTCAAAAAAGGAAAGAAAAAAAAAAAAAAAGAAGAAGAAGGAGACTGATCCAATAAATTTTTGTTCTTACAGAATCATATCCCCGTGCCATTATCACCTTCAAAGTAGTCCCCTTCAACATTCACACACTTCTGCCATTGCTGGCAACAGTTCTGGAGCGAGGTTTTTGGAAGGTTTTTCAGGAGATTCTCCATTTTTGTCTGAATGCCTTCAAATGAGATAAAATAAATTAAATAATAAATAAAAAATTTGTTGAAGTTTTACAAAATATGAAATAGATAATGAAACAAATTCCAAATTTAGTGCCCATATCTGGGTAAAAATGTACGTTATTCAAAATTTTATGGCTCAAGGAACCGTGGTTTTATCACAATGCAAGAAACATACATACATTTATGCAGATTCTTCATTATTTAATTTCTTTAAATATAATACAGGGCTCTAATATTTGGTGGCCACAGTTTGAAAAGTGAACCAACATTTATGGTAAACCACTGCAAAATGCCAAAATGAAATTAATAGCCCTTCTGGGCTAAAAAGAAATGCATGAAGAGAATGGAACAAAAGGAAAAATATGCAGATAACAATATTGTCATTTTTAGAGAGCAAAAAAAGAATAAAATTAGCCTTGCACCCACAACGGCCAGAAGTGGTAGACATTTTATTATGGAAGCACCTAATAGGTGGCCACTGTTGTCTCCTATGAAGAGAAGGACAGTTACAACCAGTTACAGTTACAGGATAGTTACCTTCTCTGAGATTCGAACCCAGGCCTATGTTAAAGCACTATACCAGTTGGGAGGCACAAACACTCATATGTAACCTGTAACATAGGCCACTATACCAGTTGGGTCACTAACCACTATACCAGTTGGGAGACACAAAAAATAAATAATAAGCATAGATTTAAAAAAAAATATTTGTAATAAAGATATTCTATAGTGAAAAGGGGGAGAAAATATATTTTTATGGAAGCAATTAGAATTTTATAATTTTTTCCATATATTAAGCTCCTAGATGAGTGAAGTTTCAAACAATCCCAGATATTTACGGATTTGCTTACCTGAACTATGCAAGATATTGCTATATTATTACTATGCTGAACTTAATAAAATAATACTCTATTTATGTAGCAGTTTGAGAAAGAACATGATATTAAAAACTCACAAAAAGTTAAAACTTACAACATGATGCACAGTTTCAGGAACACTGTCTTCTCCCTTCAAATCTACCCAAGTTGGAAAATGCATCAATCTTTCCTAGAAGAAAATAACATCCTTAAAACCAATAAGTGAAAATTAAATAATAGAGAACCATTGCTTTAATTGATCTAAGCTGGAACTATAGAGGAAGCTGAAATTCAATATAAATTTTAAACTAAAAATAACTATAAAAAAGTGCAGTTAAATTAATTCTCTAATTTGCAATGTTTTATTTTAATATTATATTAACTTACTATCACTTTCCTGATTTCGACAGACAAATCATTTGTCCATTACCCTCATAATAAAAAAACTGCACCTAATTTGTATTAAAAATTTTATTTAAAAATGAGTAGTTTCTTAATCATATTTAAAAAGTGCTTTCTTTTCTATGCATTAAAAAGTTTTGCTCTGGAAATAGTTGTCATTTGGAAGCACTACTGCTTTTCTAGCCTGTCTGTATTTCTCAATGATTTTGCTTACACATGAGGTTATTTCAAATATGGTATTGAATAAAACATCTCCTACAGAAGAGAAGGGCATAACCATAAGCCAAAAAATGCCTCTTTTAGTGCATCATGCAGGCAGGGATGTGGAGATCGTTTGCAGTACCACTATTGTTTGTAGAATGTGATCAGGTGAGAAAAACAACCCTCTCTCATAGATTTTTGTCAAAAACAGGATGTTTCAATTAGTCATCAGCGTTACTGTTTCATTTTCAAATACAAATTTAGAAATTAAATGTTCTTTCCTTGAGCTCTTTTAATCTCAACAATATATGTCATTTCTAAATTAATGTTGCTAGAAATAAACAGGACTATATTCTTCGGCAGATGCACATGCTTTCTAGCATACCTACTGTTCTCAATTTAAGTTGATCACAACTACAGTCATGTGTCTATATGCACACAGTCATGTCTACATACACTGTAACAACCGATGTGCACTCGGGCTGATGGTTTTGGTAATTTATGTGTAAAATCAAATAGGAAAGAGATAAAAATATTATTGCATATTATTTCATAATGGGCAGGATTAAGCAATTAGAGGTCTTGCTTTTGGTCCTAGAGGTGGCCAACAGACACTCTTTCTGAATGAAATTTCTGATGAGCTTGGCCTCGCAAGCCACTTGGAAGAGTTGCTTGTACAGAAAGATATGCAAGAAAGTTCAAATCACTCACAAGCAAAAACGTATTATTCTTGCTTTCCTCCACCTACAGAAATATTGCAATAATTCAGGTTCATTTACAGCTTGCCAGCTATATAATTTTCAAGTTGATTTTCAGGTGTTTTGGGTACTTCCCTTTTTTTTCTTTCTTGGGTTGAGACATATGCTCTTTTATTCAGCAAAACCTGTGCAGCATAGCAGCCAATAAAAGCCTTGAATCTTTCCTCCCTTTATCTATTACCTACATATGCTAAAATATGTATATCTATCAATATTTACACAACAAAATTTTACTTTTCAAAAATAACAGTACAGTATGTGCCCACTTCATGTGATCATATTTGTCCAAATTTCTGACCTTATCTGATCATTTCACTTCAGTTTAAAAATTATTGTACAATATTTTGATCATATTAACTGAATTATTGTTCACAAAGTATTTACTGTGTTTTTGTATCCAAATGGACAGGACTTCAGTAGTTCAATAGCAATACCTGACTGACAGTGATTACAGAAAATGATGTCTACTATACTAATATTTTAAAACAGTAGAACAAATTTATCAGGAGAAATTTCATTATGCAGCAATGAGAGAAGCATACTACAGAATACAAAATTAGGAAATTATAAGGATAGTGCTGCATATTAAATTATGTACTTTTTCTTTCTTTTTTTAATGTCTTAGAAATTTTTTTTAATGCCTTACGTCTTAGAAAAAGAAAATGCTTACTTTGCATCTCCATTTCATATTTATTCTCTTTTCATACAGTCTGAATAATAATTTTTTATCATCTAACTAATTTTCATATCATCTAAATGTAATCACATGAGGAGATTTAAATTATTTACACTAAAATGTTATGATAATACTAAACATACAAGAGGAAAACATTACTTATACATACAGAAAGTATTTGATAAAAGAACTATAGGTGGTATTTCTTTAAATATTCAATCATATACATTCATTTTGAATTCCAAAATATCTAAAAATAAATCAGAGTATTTTATGAAAAACACATTTATAACACTGGCATGGGCATTGCGATCCCATTTAAAAACTCCTGAAAACTAGCGAGCAGTATAATTCAGAACATTAATGTGAAACACATACATGGGACACCTCCTAATATTTTGCCGTGGGTATATGATATTTACATTATTTACACTTTCATCTATATTTTTCATGGTGTTACTTTTCGAAGAAAGTGACACCACCTTTAAAAAAGCACAACCCAATATTGCATGTTTTGCACATGTACCGGGATCTGTATCAGATTCACTATCTGAAGGCAATTTGAGTAGCACTTTTAGTATTTGGAAAATAATTAAAAATAAAATTTTTAAAAAAACTAATATTATATCAACAAATATGAACTATGAACTATAAAATAAAATTAAATAAACAACTACAACTCAAAACTATCAAATATAGCACTAACAAAACTTCTTTGAATGAAAGCAAAAGAGGAAAATCAAACAGCTAACTGATAAAATTACCCCTGACCTTCAGAGAATCACCCTAACAATTTCTTAGTTGATAACCAAACCTCCTCCCCCCCCGCCCCCCCAAAAAAAAAAGGAGAGAGAGAGAGAGAAAAGAAAGAAATAGAAAAACAGGAAATAAAACCCAGATGTGGATCCACTTTTCTATTGTCAATGAACTGACCGGAGAGCTGCAGAGAAACAAAGATGTTGGTCTAGTTTTAGTCTCTCAGTGAGCACACTCTGGGCACACTTGATGTTCATCGTTCGATTATAGGCAAGATTTCAAGGTAAAAATTTAAAACTAATATAAAATAAGGAGATTAACATACAGCCAAGAAAATAACATAGAAATTTCCTTTTCAAACAATTCCTTTTATATCCTAAAAACAATCAGGAAGATTTCTTTCAAAAATGAGGGTCTTTAAAAACTAATAGCTAAAATATATGACTGGTTTGTGTTGCGCTGCCATCTAGTATAAATAACGAAGCTTCAAAGTAACCTATAGTAAACTATAAATCATTTTTTATTCTTTTGTGTGTGTGTGTGTGTGTTTACAGAAGGAAAGTTTTACGTCACCGTGCCGCAAAGGGTTAAAGCACCTTTCTACATGCAGTGCAAAAACTGTTTTCGAAACATGCTATACCCTATTTTAAAGAAAATTTGTAATTTCAAGTACATGTCTACAGCAAATTTCAAGGGAAAAAAGCATGACACCAAGTTTTTCAAACTTGCTTTACTTTATTATGTATGCACTTAGTAAACTAAAGTTTTACTTTAATGATGTGTACATGTGAATGCTTTCATTCTTGAGTAAAGATTTCAGCTACAGTTTTTACATTTTTCTTTCTCAGATGCAACTACTATTATAGTATTCAGATACAGGTTTAAATAAATTTAAATGAAATAAGTTATGCAAAACAATTATTAAACCACATAATGAGATCCTAAACTTACGGCTTCTTTAACCCATTAAAAAATGCTCTTACTTGTAGGAAAACCCGAGTGTTGCATTCGCGCAACTTCAGCGGAATAAGACTACGGATGTTTACTGAGTAGAATTGTACTCGTGCGATGTTTCCTTTAAGTGGAGCACTGGATTACTTTTTAGCTGTATAATGTTTTATAAATCTACAAATCACTTTACTTGTAATTAATTTAATATTAAAATATACATTATATTTCTTTTACAAATAACAGATTATTTCAATTGAAAGATTCAAGCATGAAAAGCTTCACTACAATCATGATGCAAAGCTACATTACATACTTTGCATCTATAAACAGTCTGGCTATGGCACTCTTTACAACTAAGTCCTTTGTTATTATCGGACTTTACAATAAAATGTCTACCATCTCCATGCAATGTTTTTTGAATGCTGAATTTTCTAGGTCTTCCTGTTGCTGATCTATTTCTGGCTAATTTTATACTCTCAATAGGAGTTTGCAAAAGGAATAATGCAATCTCGCATCTGAAATCCAAAAGAAGACTTTTTATTTCCAGTAGTAGAAAGTTGTGATATTTTCCATGCATTTATCAAACCTACATCAGTGTAATTAGTAAATATTGGCCACGATCATTTTTTGCCACAAACTCTTATTCTGTACTTGGCTACTAAATTGTTACGTAAATCGACTCCACCCATTTTGGCATTGTATTGTTCAATAAGATGAGGCTTTTTCCTTTGTGTTTTTACTCCTCTCCACTAGTTTTACCTTGTATTTTGTCTTTTATTAGTTTCTTTTCTATCTTTTTCTTCATTTTCTTCCTGAGACTAGAAATGGATAAAAAAGGAACCGTCAATTATGACGGTTTCTTTTTTTTTATCCATTTCTAGTTTTCTGCTTTTTAAACTTTTTCGTATGACTACCACTGCTTTTAGAAGGCTGAAATTTACTTCTTACGTGAATTTCAACTTCCGCAGCAGTATCATTTGGTAAAATATTATTATCATTTATTTAAAACATTGTCATTCCCCCTTCTTCATCACTAGCTTCTGCAATTTCTGACGGAACAACAACAAGATCAGTTTCCTTTGGTCATTATTAACATTATTATCATCTGTTTCTTCATCAAAAAATCTTTGAAGGGCTTCTTCTAATGTAAGATACCTTTTTCTAGGAATTTTTAAAGCAGGCAGAACATGAACCAGAACATCAAAAGGAATGAGTAAAAAAGGAGATTACCTGTTTTCTGCTGACGTCACGTCAGCGTAACATGTGTTTTCCCTTCCTTCCCAACACAAATATAAAATCTGATTGATGTTATGTGCTGATTAATGGTGACCTTGACTACATATAGATCACTCATAAAGACGGCGATTCTTTTGTTAAATATTTTCAGCAAAAATACCCAGTCAAAAATTTTGCTTAAATTATGAGATTAATTATTATAAACAAAATTATTGTTGAGGGCAAATATTTTTTTACAGAAATAATCTACATAATATTCCCTACACAAAATCATCTGCTGGTATAAAATATATTAGGTAGTTACACCAGAGGCTAATGGGTTAAGCAATTAAATTTTTGAAACTAAATTTCAAAAAATGAAAGTTTTGCTATACTTACAGTAAGATTGCAGAGGCATCATCTACTTAAGCTTTGTATATTTAAAATTGAATTTAACCTTGAGTTTTCTCAAAGGAATAAATAGATTAATAATTTACGGGAAAAAAAGCTGAAATATAAGGTGCCAATACATTAAATTCATAAATTTAAAAAATAAAATGGTGATTCCTTTATTGTAAGCTTAAACTATCCTAAACAACTGAAAAATTTCATTAAAAATATCTACTTTAATTTACCTTAAAAAATTTCTTATGTTGCTAATCAAAATCAATGAATAATCTGAAATATGCTCACTGACTGAAGTTTTCAACCAATGTTCAAAGATGTAATTATTTAATTATCTGGAACCGAATGCAAAATGGGACTTTTGTATATAAAATATACAAATCACGCAAGTAACAGCATGTTGTACAGTGGACGCATGCTGAAATTTAGTATAACATATATACTATAGAGTTTAAATAGAATTTATATATATATAAAATAGAATGTATATGAATACAGTATAAAGTTCAGAGTATAGTTTATGGTTTTTGAGTGTGATCAGTATTCATTAGTTATGACTCAGAAGCATCATTAAAATGAAATGCAAAAGTGGCAGTTAATCCATAGACTAAAGTAAAGTCTAAACACAAACTGAGGTCAAAATTTTAGCAACCCCCAAAGCACAATATAAAGAACTTAAAACTGATTTTTAAGTAATGATTGAATTAGCAGATAAATTGGTCAAAAGCAAATGAGAGCAACAGCTACATCCAAAGGTAGTTTTCTGACATTGCCATTTCAAAGAAACCATGAAGAGACAATAAGAAAGTTGGTTTGAGACTTTCATGCTGTTGCAGGAACTCAAACCAGCCACAGTTCTACTGCTGCCAAAGGATTTCTTGAAGTTGTATTACATGGAGAAAAGCCACTGGTTTGTGTCACTTTATCCTTCAGAGGAATCCATTTACGTGATGCTGTTGTCATGTTCATCAGAGGAAAGATAAATGCATCCATGTAATTTTTAATGGCAAGTCTAGATATAACTGTAACTGTGGTTTTTAGACATGTTTTGATATGTGAGGGAGCAAAGGAAAACAGCCTGCTTCGCCAAGTCTATGAAAAATCTATTTCCATGGAAATGTTTCAGGGTTTGGAGTGAAATTAAAAATGACTACCACACTGAGACGCACATTTCTGACAGAGGTTCTGTAAACAGTCACAGATGCAGGACATCTGCACTGAGCATTTCTGGTGTCAGAATACTTGAAAACAGAAGCTATCAATTGAATAAATTAGACAGCTTAATTACCAAATTATGAACCTGACTGACAATGTAAGGGATGCTTTAGGACACCAAATTATAGCATGCCAATGAATTCTCTAGCCCACTAAGATCTAAAAAGTGCATTTAAGTGGCATGTAACTCCACAAGATGTGATCAACAAGTTGGTAAATTCTATGAAATCAAGATGTAAGGTTCAGAAGTGGCCATACATTATATTAAAAAAAATTGTTGCAAAACAGAGGATATCAATATTTTGAGATTAACCAACTGGCAAACATAGTAACTTTTGTTAAATAATGCTTCCTTACAAAATTGTTTTTGATCATTTTTCAAAAAGTAACAATTAAGTTATATTTCCGTTTACATCCTTTAATTTTGAGTGTAATATCAGACATACACAATGGCAAGTATCTGCTATGTATGATTTAAAGCATCCTGAGTGTAATAACCATTCAGTTAACACATCACAGCACCATATTCACATTTTTTTTTTTTTTTTTTAAATGGGGAATACTTACTGCAAGCTTCTTAACATCAAATGAATGCAAAGTGGCAGAGCACACAACCATCTGAAAATTATAAAGCACCATTTAATCCAGTAAATTATTAAAAATAATGCTACAAATAATAATAGCTAAATGGTTCTCTGCAAAGACTATTTAAGGTAGTTTTTAAACTCACAAAATATTATATTAGTTATAAATAAACTTAGAAAACCCTAAATTTGAAATTAATTATTTGCATACACAAAAACAAAGAATCTTAATGCTTCATAGATAGTGTAGTAATAATATGAGTATATAGAGAACTGAAGAAAACTTAGAGGCCAACATACCTATGCAGGAAATTTTACTTATAATATAGTAAATTATAGCCTCTAAATCTAACTTTAAAAATACTGAGTAAATATGCTTATCAGCTTTACGTATCTTGTACTCCTGTACGTAAAGTAGAAAAGTTTTGTGGTGATTTCTCTTACTACAAGTAAGTGTTCATATCATTCTTCATACTGCATGATGCCAAAATATGAACATTTCAGAAGCCACTTGCTGCAGCATTTCATGCAGAATTTCCGGAACTTTTTATATTATATTGACTTCTTGGATCATTTTTAATACACTCTCCTTTTAGCCAATGTCCAAGAATGAAAAATTCAGGTGGGAGTGGGGATAAGGGTTGCAGAACATGAATGGACAAAGCCCCTGGATTCAGTATAAAATAAACATTAAACCAGGAATATCCATATTTTCGGAACTACTGGGCCTTGTAGCCAAACAAAGATGTATCAACAGTTTCACTGCATAACAAAAAATGCAGTGAATAAAGAATGAATGAATCATGAGGGAAATACAGAGTTTAAGATTTACAAATAATCACAATATAAACTGTATTAATATAGCAGTTGTAAAATTACATTTGCTTTATATATATATATACATAAATAAGATATTTATAGCCTAATCCACAAAGACACGAAAAAAATAAAATCCAAAATCAATAAAATTTAAAAATCCCTGTTAAATATGTAAAAATTAACCAATAGTGTTAAACCAGAAAAATTATAGACAGAGGAAATACAAAAATTACAAGAATACAAATTATATAAAACTAAAAATAATATAATAAGGGAGAGGAATGCAATCAAAATCTGATTCAACATTATCAAAAGGAGGTAGATCAGATTCAACTAAGCCCCTGTCCCCAAAATTATCCCAAAATCCAAAATTAGCTCATTTTTTGCTGAACTGTTATAATTAAATAATTTAGAATGGTTCATCAGCTAATTTTAGATTAATAGAAATGCAGTAATTTTTCGGGGGACAGGGGTTCAATTGAATCTGATCTACCTTCTCTCGATAATGTTAAATCCAATTTTGATTACATTCCTCTCCCTTTTTACAGCTTTTGCATTATTACATATTTCTTATTTCTCATATCAGTAATTCTTCTGGTGTAATATGATTGGTTAACTTTTTATATATTTATTGGGGATTTTTAATTTTATTTTTTTCGTGTCTTCGTGGATTAGGCTCTAAATTTCTTATTTCTTATCTATAATTGATTAAATTTCAGCAATATATTGCGTAGAAAAAATATTAAGTTAATTTTGTTTTAAAATAAAAATTTTTGATATTGTAATATAGAGGGTGTTTACACATTTTGTAATGATTTTGATTTTCTCCATGAATTTAAATATTAATTTTAAAATACAAGGTTTAATTATTGTTAAATAATCATTTAATTATTGCAGCATTAAAAATATTCTTCTCTTTAAAATGTCGCTGGAAAGTAAATATTGCATCAAAGGCTATATATTTGCACTGTCCGAAAAGCACTGTCTTATTCAATTATTAAAACAAGATATGAAAAACATTGATTTAATGTTTCTACACATAAAATAAATGACATAACTAATATGAAAGAAAAGAAAAGTTTGCATCTGACAGGGAAAAAGGCAAAAAAATGTGATGTGACTTGAGATTTGACATCTCATGTTTTAAAGGAAGATTCAGCCCCCGAAGAGCTATTGCAAAATCTTTAAATATCTCTGTAGGAACTGTGAACAAAATTATAAAATCAGTTTGATATCAAAACAAAAAAACATGATGTTCATCGCCTAACGTCGAAATATATTTCTCAGTGTAAGATTATGTGGAGATTGCTCTATGAAAATGATTTGGCAGGTGAAAAATTGAAATATATAGTTACAAATGATGAGGCTTGCATGTAATTATCTGATTGTAATAGAAAAAGAGGAGAAAAAGCCTTAATATATTGGTTCAGAGAAAACAAGGAAAATTTATCTAAAGGTTTTATGGTTATTACTGGATTCTCTTATAATGGAAAACTTAAAATAAAGAAAGTAGAAAAAAATGTCAAAATTAATTTGGACTACTATCAGAAATATGTTTTAACACCTATTTTTAAAGGAGAAATTCTATCACTTTAACCATACAATCTTCACCATGTTAAGTTCCATTAGGATAAGGCTCCAAGCCATACCTCTAAAATCTACTGGTCTATTTTTTGAAAAAATGAGAAATGAAACCGGAATTGAAACTATTCCCTTTAACCTTTTGCGGCACGGGTGTGCCCATAAATTTCCTTTTGTACTCACACAAAAATTGAATGAAAAAGGATTTATATGTTACTATAGGTTATTCTGAACCTTCTTTATTTATAGTAGATGGCAGCTCGACACAAGCCAGTTCATATATTTTAGCCATGTTTAGTTTTTTGAGGCCCTCATTTTTCAAAGAAATCCCCCAGATTTTTTTAGGGTATAAAAGGAATTGTTTGAAAAGAAATTTCTATGTTATTTTTTTGGCTGTATGCTATTCCTTCTTCTATATTAGTTTTAAATTTTTACCTTGAAATCTTGCCTAAAATCAAACGGCAAACCCAAGGTGTGCCCAGACCGGGCTCACCGATAATCTAGGACAACTGAGAATCTGTGTTCTTTGTTTCTCCGCATCTCATCGGTCAGTTCATTGACAACAGAAAGGTGGGTCCACATTTGTGTTTAATTTCCCGTTTTTCTCTTTCTTCTCTCTCTCTTTTTTTAAGTGGACGTTTGGTAATCCAAATTGCTGGGGTGATTTTCTGAAGATCAATGGTAATTTTATCAGTTAGCTGTTTGATTTTTCACTAGAGCAGTTCTCTTCTTCTCTTTCGCTTTCGTTCAAAGATTCACTGTCGCTACGTTTAATAGTTTTGAGTTGCAGACCTTTATTTTATTTTATAGTTTATAATTTCTAATTGTAGATATAATGTTAGTTTTATTTTTTAATTTTATTTTTAATACTTTTCAAAACAGATTGGAGAGGGCTGACCATTTCTGAAGCACTGAAAGTGCTCTGGTACATGTGCAAAACATGCAATATTGGTTTGTGCTTTTTCAAAGGTGGTGTTACATTCTTCAAAAATTACCACCATGAAAAAATAGACTAAAGTGTAAATACGAAATGTAAATATCATATATCCATGTTACTTCTTTTCATTTATATGCATGTAATCATGGTATAACCAAGAAGAGCCTTTTTAAGGGAGTTGTAGCATGCCTCCCCGTGGCACACCCTGGGTAATGCTAAATCTGCTACAGAATTCAGAATAAGAAATATTCAGAATCTACGGTTTTTTAATCATAGGTAAAATCTCTTGCTCTTTTATGCGCTTCCCAGCAATGCTCATTTTGGCACTCTTTTCGAAGCTCTATTCAAACAATGTGCTCGAAACGGGCACACCACAAAATTAAAACGATAAGTGCTATCTTCACAAAATTTTACTTGTGTACTATTCTAGGCCTAATTATACTGCCTACCTTTTTTTTGTTTTTTATCGAAATTCCAACTTTGAAAGGTAGCGTGCCGGAAAGGGTTAAATGCATAACGCCCAAGTCCCCTGTTGTTTCCTATGAATTGGAGTTTTAAAACAAGCTCTTTATAAGTTGCATCCCAAAACATTGGATGGACTCTGGAAGATTATAAAGGAGAGTGGAATAAAATGAACCTTGATGTTTTAAGAAAACAATTTTTATCTTGAAAATCAAGATGTAATTTGATATTTCAAAAAAAGGTCTATTAGACTGAACATATTAGAAAATAAAATTCTAAGGTTTGTTTATTTTAATTTTTGCAAAATCATTAAAAAAATATGCAAACACCCTGTATGTGTGTGTATATTTACATATATACTCTTTTGGAAAAAAATCGAAGTACCAAGAAGGACTTTTGCGATCTTGATGACATTTGGCATGTAAAAACATCTTTATCGAACATCATAATGATCAAAGTTTCAAGGCAAATGAACGGGAATTGCGATCATAGCGCACATTTCCATTGCACAATTCACAAAGTATAATACCACTAACAGAGGCAGAAAATTTATCTTTTTTTTGTTGTTGCCATTGTAGTTCTGTAAAGAAACAACTAAAGATACGATTACGACAATAATGAAGACCTTACAGACAACTAAACGACTCCGAATGTGATTGCATTGTACGATTGCGCGAAGCTGGGTGGTCATACTGAGAAATAGGCAGCCACCCGCAGCGTACAGACACTACTGTGCAAAGATGTTGGCAGCAATGGTTGCTACAAGGAAATTGTCGACGAAATGAAGGCTCTGGAAGGCCAAGGAGCACAAATGCGAGGCAAGATAAGATGATTGTTCGCAAGGCCTGAAAGCCCCAACAGTATCATTGTCGACTATTCAACTCACTACAGCCATGTCTATACCTCCCGTGGTACCGTCCACCATCTCACAGCGCTTGTCTCCGAGGTGGAGTTACACTCACAGAGGCCTTTAAGATATTTGCCTTTGACCCCACAACATCTGCGGAGTCATCTGGAGTGGTGCCCCAGCTGATCATTATGGTTGCCATCAGACTGGCATCGTATAGTGTTCAGCAATGAACTCTGCTTCACTCTTGAAGAAGATGACCACCGTGTTTGTGTGCAAGAGGACGGGGCCAGCAGTCCCAATCAGTCTGTGTTTTACAAAGGCATACAGCCAATAACCCCTGGTGTGATGGTGTTGGGGGGCTATTTCTTATGACCACAGGTCATCTTTAGTCATTCTCCATACATCTTTAACAGCTCAACGATATGTTGATACTATCCTGCGGCTGGTTGCATTACCTTTCATGGCAATTCATTCTGAGGCCATTTTCCAACAAGATAATGTCAGGCCACCTACTGCTCGCATATCTCTGGACTGCCTCCGAGCGGTTGATACTCTTCCTTCACCAGAAAGGTCTCCAGACCTTTCAGGAATTGAGTATGTCTGGGACATGGTAGGCCGCCAGATTCGGGCACCACAAACTATGGCAGATCTGGAGCGACAACTGATGAATGCCTGGCAGAATGTGTTGCAGAATGACATTAGGAACCTTTACCACTCCTTGCCTCGACGAATTATGGCATGCATTGCCACCAGGGGCAGTTCGACCAACTACTAATTTAAATACTCAATGGGTGATTGTGAGCTGTGAGCAGGTACTATTACCTTGATATTTTAATCATTTCATTATGTGTGTATAAGCTATACACATATTCAATTTCATCAAAAACAACCACTTCCTTCAGGGTGCTTTGATTTTTTTGCAAAAGAATGTATATATATATGCATGTAAGATATAACAAAGTACGATAGGTGTTTAAAAAAAAATAATTGGCGATTTCAAAATTAACGATTCTAGATTTTATGCTCTCCCCCTAAATTCATCTGTTCTCCTGGATTCGAGATCTTTTTACGTTACATAACATTTTAATGCAGATACCTTTTTGACCAATCAAATTAATTGCAAACCAAAACTTTCATTAACAATTAATCATCAGGATATAATCTGCTCAGGTGTGACCCCAAAACAAAAATACTGTAACAATAAGCAGAAGTAAACAGGCAAAGCCAGCTCAAAATGCTTCTCAAAATAAAAAGCCAGCAAAACCACTGGGTAAATAAAAAGCAGTGCGTTACATAAATACTTAAATTTCAAACTAAAGAAAATAAAATTGGTAAAAAAATTTGTAAATGAAAAGAGGCTTTTGGAAAGCCAAAGTTTAAAAAAAAAAAAAAAGAAAGAAAGAAAGAAAGAAAAGAAAAGAAAGAAAAAAAAATGCCTAAAATTGGACAAAATTTAAACTGAATCAATTATTTCAATCAAATAATTAAATTAATTTGAATGGAATACAAAAAAGGAAAATCTGAATGAAGTAATTCAACACATGGGGATGATAATAATATATAATCTTAATCTGAAATTTCTAAACTTAATCTATTTCTTAACTCAGTACTATGTCATCAAACTATAATGATTGCAAAGAGTATTTCAATATGATCTTAATAAAACTTAGTTTTCATTATAAATAATGAAAACTTAAATGACTTAAAACTTAAACAAAAACTTAATTTTCATATTATTTTTTGTACGATTAATCTATGTAACACCTGCTTGCTCTGGAATATTTTTGAAGCATTCAGAGTTTTTCAGATACAGTCAAAAGTCTTTAATCCGGACTCGTCGGGACTTTGGCGATTACGGATTATCGATTTTTCCGCATTATAGATCATCAGTTTAAATCTGGTAAGATGGCATGCAGAAATTATACTTTGTAATAAATTTTTTCAGTAAAATAGCTATCAATGACACACAATTTTTGCTATTTACATATGCCCAGAGACAGTTTTGAAGCAAACAGAGTTATTGCTCGTAAAATAAGCTAATACAGCTATTAAATATACTCAGAGTAAAAAGCTTTGCATTTTCTACGAGTATATATTATGTATGCTATTAATTTTTGAAGTTAATATTTTCTGATTTCATAAACAGCTGAATTTGAATAAGCCAAAATTAAATGGACTGGAAAGGGAGTGGGTTCTGATTAGTCAAAAATTTTAATGATAGTACTAAAAATTATCACTAAGATTTCTGCTGTAGGTGTTACAATTAAGAATAATTTCATTGGCTATAAAATTAATTGGCCTCACTAACCTGTAATCGTTTACCATCGGGAGTTATTTTGGGGATCTGTTGATGGATTCGATTAATCAAATCACCATAGCCAGCAGAGAGCAAACCATCCTGAAATAGAATGCAAAAATAAAATAATAATAATAAAAAAAAAAAATCTGATGTGTACACTCCGACTTCCTTGCACATAATATTAAATTATTCACAATTTTTTCCTGCATTTTATTTAAACTTATTTCCTTGAATATCCTTAAAGATATATTTTCTCATTCAATTAATTAAGGTATCACTTCGTGACAAGGCAAAGATACTTAAAACCTAAAATATTTTGATTAAAAATTGAAAAATATAAAACATAAATACAGTTAAAACAATTTAAAAGAACAACTTTTACAATTAAAATTAGAGTTTCTACACAAAAAAAGAAGCAATTCGGCCAGCTAGCTTTTGGTGTACAAAACTAAAAGTTTACTTTTGTTCTCACTCAGCAAAGAGACACTGATGGCATAGAAACTGACTTAATTTGTTGTGGAAGCCATGCTGAGTCAATATATGGGATAATTTAATAACTTGATTGTTAATTACAGAATAGATTAAGCATGATTTAATTCACAATAATAAAGGAAGACATTATCTTTGTTGTTGCGAAGCTTAGTTTCTCTATATTGGCAATGAATCTACTATTCTGTTGCCACACTTAAACAACTTTTAAATTGTTGATAATTATACATTTATAACATTATAAAGAAAGAAATTCAGAAACAAGTATTAAATATTTTACATAGATCCATTAAGACAATACTATAACTAACAGTTTGAATAGTGAAAAAAATTAGCAAATTTCTAATAAATATTTTCTAATACCAGTTACTAAAATATCTGTGATTTGATTACTTTAAAACCATGACTACATTATATGATTCTGTACCAATTATCATAAACAAACCCTTTACCTTGTTTATAATTTTGTATTTTTAATCTCAAATTAGAACCATTCATTCACAGAATTTTTTTTTTTACATTAAAATACAAGATTTTCAGAAATTTACTGTATAACTAGTTCGCATGGCATTTTTTTATACATTAGTATGCTTCTACTTTTCCTTCTTTCTAACAACTAAATTTATGTGTTTAAAATTTGATCACATTTTTCAGCAACGAATGAAGAAAAAGAAATAGCATTAGTGCCTATCATTTTAGTTTTAATATCTTTAGCCTACATCTTTAACTTGAGACAAATTGAAATCATTAATTTATTACAAAAACTTATCTTTTCTTCATTAAAATATTCTCAGCTACATTCATGACTTTAATGTATTTACTGTTTTTTCTTTTACTGATTATACTAAAAATTTGAGTTAAATGCACACTCAAAATTATATAATACAGATTTATAATAAAGTTCAAATATCACATTTAAAAAAAATTATTTTTTTCATAAAAAGTTTTAAGGAAAAGATTTTACAATAGATGGTTTAAAATTAATTTTATTTAACAACATTTTCTTTTCAGTTTAGAATAACTGAACAATTTTTATGTTAGAAACTCAGTTACACTATTAAATTAACTAAGTGACTAAAAATACATAAAATGTTTTTAATGAATTTTTACATTAAATTAATAAAAAATAATTTCTGAACAAATATGTGTTACAAAAACTAGGTAAAAACTTACTGCTTCATCCAGAACAAAAAACTGAACCTGTAAAAGCAATAATCATAAATTACCGAATGCAAATCTCATAACATAATTCACACTTGTGGGATACACTGGTTATCATAAATTAAGGAAAAATCACAAAAATAGCGATAACTCCCTCAAAAATAAGCCAAACCATGTAAAATTTGAATATGTTACCAAATAAGAGTAGCTGAGTAAAACTGTGATATGCAAATTAGTGGCGCTGCTTTTGGAAAATACGTCATCTGCGAGGAGCATAAAAGTCCATGTTTGAGAGCAAGCCCACATATTTCACAGTGACAGTGACATCAGAAATTTGAGATAGCCTATTCGTAACAATGACCTCCAGGCATCATTTGCCTGCAAAACTGCGATGGAGAGCCATTGGGAGACTAGAGGCAGGACAAAGTCAAACAGAAGTAGCCAGATGGCTAAATGCGAGTCCTTCTGTGGTTCATAGATTTTGGAGGCAATTTCAAACCACAGATTTGGCATCTAGGAGGACGGCCAACTGCTATGACACCAAGGACGGCCAACTGCTATGACGAGCGCCGATGACCGATATTTGACATTATATGCACGCAGGAATAGAACCGCTACTACTTGTCAACGTCAACTGTGCATAGAAGGCTTCACGAAGGTGGTCTGTATGCGAGGCGACCAGCTACTTGTATGCACCTCACGTCACGCAATAGGAGAGACCATTTTCAGTGGGCACGACAACATGTCCACTGGGCGCCTGATCAATGGAGGGCAGTCTCTTTACGAATGAGTCCAGGTTTAATCTAGAAAGCGATAGTAGGCATTATTTGATATGGAGAGAACCTAGAACCCGTTATCATCCATCAAACTTTCGTGAAAGAGATGCATATGGAAGGGGCAGTGTCTGTGTCTGTGGTGGCATCTCTTTGGGTGGATGCACAGACCTCCATGTCTTACCAAGGGGAACCATGAATGCTCAGATTTATAGAGATGACATCCTTGATGTTTATGTGTGCCCATATGCCGGGGCAATAGGTGATGCTTTCCTGTAACAGGACGACAATGCAAGACCCCACAGGGCTCGCATCGTAGATGATTATCTTCAACAGGAAACAATTATGTGCATGGAGTGGCCAGCTCGATCCCCAGACTTGAATACTATCGAGCACGTTTGGGATGCTTTAGGGAGACGTCTAGCTGCTCTCAATCTGCCCCCTCAAACCCTTGTCGCGCTTGCAACTGCTTTGCAAGAGCAATGGCTCTCGCTTCCTATGGAACTGATAGACCGCATAATTGAAAGCATCACATATCGCTGTATGTGCTGTATTGCTTCTAGAGGCGATCATATTCCATATTGAAGGTACTTTTCCTATAGCAAACTGACATTTTCGATTTGCTCGTTTTATACATGTGCTAGTTTCTGTACTACCATATTTGTCTGGTAATTTCTTTTTATGTTATTTGATACCTTACTATGTGTTGTATATTGTGGGTAAGTTTCATTAAATTCAATATGTAACTTTTTCAGTAATCATGATTTTTCCTTAATTTATGATAACCAGTGTATTTACGTATTTAGAGATATATAGATTTGACATCATACTTGAGTGAAACAAAATATTTGATATTTTATTCATGTTATTTCAGAAAACTAATGAAGAAATTTATACATAAATTGATCTGTGATATGATTTCAGTATAAAAAATTACTCTTATGATCTTAACATTTACCGTAATTTCCGGAAGAAATGCTGCAGCATTTATGCATTTAAAACTTAAATTTTCAGCGGGTGCGGCGTTTAGGTGCACTAATAAATAAAATATTTCCTATAATGGTCATTGTACATAGTTTGAATGGCCTTGTCATTGTACACAGACTGGTGCTGTTCCCACACAAAAGACCACTCAGTTGCTTTTTGAGAACATTATTTTGTTTACATTCTTTTCCTTCAACGGACCTACAAGCCTTATTCACCCTAAATGAGATCTCAGAACAATAACATTCTTCCCCCTTTCAAATCAACATTCTCATCAGTTTGAAGAGTCTCTCTCCTCTGACATTCTATGAATCTTCCAGGACCCATCCTCTCCCCACCCCTGCCTTTTCTGCAATTTTTTTCAAAGGCGGACACGACTCCACCTGCCTCGCAATAACGAACTCTGACGTATTTCCCCTTCATGAAGCATGAATCGATTTTTCTGGGCATTCTCTCAGATACGGATCCCATCAGTTTGGGTACAAGTACTTGTTAGATAGTTTTTAAGTAAGAAGGGAGCGGAAAATTTTTTAAAATGTCACCTAAACGGCACAGAAGCTATACTGCTGGTTTTAAGCTTAATGTAATTTCACATGCTGAACAAATTGGAAATCGAGCAGCAGCTTGAGAGTTTGAAGTGGACGAGAGATGTATTTGAAGTTAGAGAAACTGAAAAAGAACTTCTTAAAAATATGCCACAACAGAAACGAGCCAAAAGAAGTGGTACTGTAAGGTGGCCAAATCTAGAGGATGACCTTGCAAACTGGATAAAGGAGCAACGAGGAAAGGGAATAGCAATTTTGTCTGTAAAAATTCGCTTACAAGCAAAATTTATAGCAAAACGAATGAACATAAATGATTTCAAAGGAGGTGTAGCAGATTTATGAAAAGAAAAAAAATATTTCTATGCGTACTAGAACAAAAGTCGGGCAACAATTACTAATGGACTGGTAAGATAAAAAGTTATCTTTTCTAAAATATGTGACAAATATTATTGAAGGGGGGGGAAACCACTTCTTCACTCACAGATAATAAATATGGATGAAATGCCAGTAGCTTTCGACTCTCCTGCAAACAGAACTGTTGATGAAACTGGTGCAAAAACTGTATCCGTGCTTACGGCGGGACATGAAAGAACGTCATTTACATGTGTGTTATCTTGTGCCACAAACGGTGACAAGCTAAAGCCAATGATCATTTTCAAACAAAAGACTATTCCGAAGGGAGAGTTTCCTAATGACATGATTATTTGTGCAAATGAGAATGGCTGGATGTGCGAAACAATCATGCATGAGTGGCTACAAAAAGTTTGGCAGTGTCGTATGGTATCTTTTTTCCAACCAAAGGGGTTATTGATAATGGATTCCATACATGCTCATTTCTTCGAGTCAGTAAAAACCAGATGTCAAAAATTGTCTATGACTGAAGCAATAATTCCTGGTGGTTTGACAAAAATCTTACAACCGTTAGATTTGTCAGGTAATAAATCCTTCAACACTGAAGTCCGAAAGCGTTGGGAGTGTTGGACGAGTAAAGGATTGCATACATATACCAAAAGCGGAAGTTGCAAAGTGAGCAGCAAGTGCGTGGAAATCGGTAAAAACATCGTCAATAACAGCAGGGTTCAAAGAAGCTGAAATTATATCCTTAGATAAAGAGACTGTAAACCAAGAGGATGAATGTGACGATCTGGAAGACTTGGGACTTAGATCAGGATTTACTAAATCTTTTTAATTCAGATAGTGAACAATTAGATTTTGATGGCTTCATATGATGTATAGTTTGTTGTAATTCCTTTTGTAAGTAAAATTTAAAATTTCCTTTTGTCATCCAAATTTAATATTTTGTTGTTGCAACATTTTTTATAATATAGTCTGAGTATTACAAATATGGACTTCTTTAGTAGGTAAATATAAGTATATACATGAAGGCAAATATATTTTCCACATTTTTTACCTTTAATTTATTTTTGAGTTATGGTTTCATTTCATGCATTTTTCTTAACTGGTATGTCATATATCAGGACTTCGGTTGAGATTTTGCATCTATACAGCCCACGACGCTGTCATGCACAATTTAATCTATTGCGACGTTTATGCTGATGCAGCGTTTCTGTTCAATTTAAATTTTTTTCCCGCTATTTTTCTCGAGTGCGCCGTTTACGCCGATGGGGCCTTTCTTCCGGAAACTACGGTAGATATTATTTTTTAAATAAATATAGAAATTACACTAGAAATTAAAAAAGGGCAAAGTATAAATTGTCTTTTGCAATAATATAGTTAATGCAACAGCGAATTCATAAAACTAGAAAAGCAGCAACCTTGTGTCTGGCATAAATTTAGTCAAGATCTCAACTGATTTTGAGGGTAAACAGGCACAGGTCCCTCTATCTGTTTGCTTTCAAAATCGATTCACAACAATGAATTCGTAAAATTAAAAAGCAACAACCTTGCGCTTGATGTAGATTTAGTCAAGATATAAATCGATTTTGAGTGCAAACAGGCACAGGTCCCTCTACCTGTTTGCCCTTGAAATAGATTGAGATCTTTACCAAAATCAAAAAGCTAACAGGTGTTGTAGCAAGAAATAAAGGAATTGATAATTATTTACATAAAAATATATGTATTTTTTCTGTATGCATTATAGAAAAATTTAATAAATAAATGAAAGAGAATAGGTTGTCATTATTTATTTTCAAGCTTTCTCCCACTTGCAGAATTTTCATAATTTGTTTAGCTTAAATAGTTGTTTATTAGTTAATTCAATATATTAATATTACTGGAAAATTTTTCAATCTGAAATTTAATATCTGTTGTTATAATTTAATATTAGTTCTACATTGTAACGTTCCCCTTCTCTGAAGAACACTTGGTCACCCGCCCTAAAAGAACAGAACAGAACATCCTCTTCTCATCTCGGCCGGAAGAAGGGAGCGGACTTTCTCCCTGGTCGCAGGTTCCCACCTGCGAGGTAAGAGGAGATTGAGATGTAGAAGAGAAAAGAGCGGACGCTGGTCTGCGTGCTCTACTGTAATGAAAATGTATTTTAAAGTTTTTTCTAAAATGTAACATGTATATAGTTGTATATATAACTAAATATTTAGCCTAGAACAGGTCTCGTTTATTTGACGGAGTATGACTATGGTACAACGTGAATTACAAAGTGTAACTAACGAAACTTCTTGCAGATACTAATCATTAGACTTCAGATACAAAATAAATTATTGAATATATAAGTTATCGAATTTTTTCATTTTTCTTTTTGAATTTCTTTCCCCTTTTTCTTCTTATTATTACTGTACATGTATGTTCAGATAAATATTTAGTCAGTAATATTTAAAATTTAGTCAAAAAATTATTCTGTTAAAAAATTAAATAAATGAAGCTCATCAGCTACTTTTAGATTGTGTATTCAGCCTGCATGCAATTTGAAAATCTAAAATATAAACAGAAAATAAAATAAATATGTAACATTCACCATTATTAAATAATCTATCTGTAGAAATTTACAAATTAAGATTTCAGCTGAACTACTAATACCAGATTAGTTTATTGAATTAATTGAATTTAATTATGCTGAAAAATAAAAATTTATTTGCACTTCCTCTATAATCGAAAATTTTATTAATTATTTTGGAAAAACATTTTCAATCAATATAATTTTAGGTTGCATAAAAATTTTTTAGCCAGATTTCTGAAGAACAGTTTTTAGCCATTGCCTGAACTGAATCAGCCAATTCTGCACAGACCTTTCAAAGATCAATGCAAAATTCCATATCTTCCCCTCTTGAATCAACAACTAAAAAATTTAAGTTCTAGAAGTTTTATCCAAACATAATGTTCTAAAAGTTCTATCTAATCATTTATATTCTAAAATATTTCTATTTAGGAACAACAGAATTCATTCTATTTGTATTTAAAACAGCATCTTTTAGATTTAAAACAGAATATACGTTAAGGAAAAAAAAAATTATTTATTTAATATTAGGCCTTATAAACTAAAAATAAAAATAAGAAAAAAATAATTTCAGGAAATCAGAATAAAATGCTTTTACGTTATATGCAAATTTGCAGAAAAAGTCTTCTCATTGGTTCACAAATGAAAAAATATTAAGATCTATAATACAGCTATAAAAGACAAAAATTTTACCTGAGAAAGTGAAAGCTGCCCTGTAGATATGAGGTCTTCTAATCGCCCAGGAGTTCCAACAACAATATCAATCTGTGCAATAAAAATGTTAATAAATGCAATATATATAATACTTTATAGTTTTGAATTATTCAAAAACATAAATTGTACTCAGACAGATATGAATGCCGTTATTATAGCCACCGATCAACAGAGAAAACACTGATATATACAACAACTAGCAGTGAAACAAAAATTCTAATTCAATTTCAGTTGAATTATTATAAGTATCACAAATGTTTCCTTCTCTCTGTTATTGTCAGCTATGATTTTCACTGATTCTTAGTTCTAGGTTTTGATTTTAAAATATAGTATAGTTGACTTGTGTGTGAAGTGTTTTGTATTCCTATCGATGTTGTAAAAAAATGTGCCTGTAAACTTCATGTGTATTCAAATGTTTCAATAATTAGAAAAGTGTTGTGAATTCCAATAAACGTTTGGATTTTAAGCATGATTTTCACCATCTCCAAATGTGCTTACAGAATGTGTTTACAGTAGAGCAAACCAAAAAGGTATGTACTCACTGTTACTTTATTAAAATCACAATAAGAACAGGAACACAGACATCATACATATGTGACAGGTCATGTAATGCAAGTCAAGATCCAATACTACATAAAAACATAAAAAGAGTAAGTTTTATACACCAAAACACAAAGTAGCAGCCAGGGTTACCAACAAAGTATGTAATCTGTTGGACTTGGAAAAAAACACAATCAGAAGCCAAAGATGCTAACATATCAGAACTGAGCAACTTTAAAAATGCTCGTATATTAAAGAGTACCAGGTCAAAAAGAATAAACCAGTTTCGACACAGCATGTGAGAGAATGAACTGTACATGTGATTGATACTAAATTATTAAAATGTTAACTTTCTATTGTTGCTCAAGGCAAGGGAGGAGCTGCTTTCAGTCATTTAGTCTTTCAACAAACCTACAGCCACCAAAATGTTCTGAAGTGAACAAATTGTTGTGATTCATGCTGGTGGCATTATAAACAAGCAATATTAAAACTGGATCTTAGTTAAGAAGTCTCTTTTCTTTCCTTCCTCCAGATTCTGAACTTCTGATGGCCTTCATCTTAACCAGTTAACTGTGGCACCCTCGCTTAAGAGTGTGCACTATTTTTTGTCGCCAGAATCGAGCCATGACGAGTATATTCGTCAATCACAGAGTAAGTTGTGCTGGTAAGACATTGGATGAAAAAGATGGGTTCATTTTATAAAATTGAAAATTTTATTACTAATATTTACTTAATTGGTTAATATAAGCATATACTACATACATATTAAACTAAAAACACAATAAATTAAATTAAATATTATACATATAAAAGTAATAATTTAAATTCCTTCTGTGGAATGATATTCAGCGAAACAGTACTATACACAATGGGACTTTGCAAATTGAACACCAGTAACGCGATTCCTTCCTGATCTTACGTTTATAGCAATGCAAACACCTTCGCGTAGGGCTGTTTTTTCCCCCCCCCCAATGTTCTGGGTATATAATCCCGAACATGATTCCTGCCTAATTGGTTTATAATTTTTTAATTTAATATAATCAATCACTAGCTCCGGTTTCTTTGCTATTATTTTTCTTTTCTCTGTTTCTATTACATTGTCATTATGTACAGTACTTACTAAGTAAACCTCCCTCTTATCTTTCCATTTCATTATATGCATGACGAGTATACTCGTCAATACACAAAATCATAACCGCTTCTCCATGGCAAGTATACTCGTCAATCACAGTTAACTGGTTAAGATACAAGATATGATTAAGATACAGTGGAACCTCGATATACGAGCAGCACCTCCATACACAAGAAATTCGAGATACGAGGTACGAAGTATGAGCAAAAATTTTGTCTCTAAATACGAGCATTGACTTGAGTAACGAGCAATGAGCCAGGCTGTTGGTATGCATGGCACCATTTCCCAATCTGGCTTGACTCGGGGAATCCCCTCATCAGATCACTTAATGTTCTTTGATCTTCATGATTGTGTGCTTGCGAGTCAATTGTTTATTACATTTAAAATTGAAATTAAGAAAGAAATCATAGATAAAATAAGCGTGGGTATAAGTGTGATGGAATTGACAAAAACTTACGGCCTTTTGACATCAAAGATTTGCAGTGTTCTGAAGAAATAGGAAGAAATTAAGAAACTTAATGTAGCCTAAGGAGTTACCATTACTTCCAAGCTTCATCCAAAACTCCTAGAAGGTGCTGAGAAGCTGTTGTTGGTGTGGATTAACTAGAAGCAGTTAAAAGGTCGGTGTTGGAAGCTATCATAAAGGTAAACTATGGTAATATTATTTACCAGTGTTATTTATTAGAAAAATTAATTTTTATTTGATATTTTTGGGGTTGTGGAATGGATTAACTAGATTTCCATTATTTCCAATGGGGAAAGTTTGTTTCTAGATACAAAAATTCGCTATACGAGGTCAATGCTGGAACGAATTAAACTCGTATCTCGAGATTCCACTGTATTTTTAATTAAATAGTGAGTAATTTAATTTTAATAATTAGTTAACTCATTATTAATTAGTTTTTTAATTATTTAATTTGGGAGCTTCTTGAACAAAGACTCCTTGTGATAGCATCATATGCAATTCTATAAATCTCCTTCTGGATCTGCATCATCCAAGAAGCACATTGCATATAACAACTCAATCAACAGATCTCCAGGTATAATTTTAAAAAACACCAGGATGGTGGGATACTGCTAAGGTCTAAGTTATGTTTCGTGGCAAAGAACTTTAATGGGGGGAAAATTAAGCTTCAGCAACACCAAAGAGAAAAATTCAGTTGAAAATGAGCACTGCAAAGGATAAACTCTACTGATATATAGGTTTTGAAATTCATCAAACCACCAACAACATTAGAAAATCTGTCAAGAGTTACTATACTGAATGATTTCAAAATGTGAATTATTTACATAAAACTTTTAATTCCTTGTTTACTTTTCAACCTTGTGTTTCACAGAAATTTTAGTTAAGACCAGGGATAAATAGAAGGGCTAGCTCATTTCTTTGTTCGACTCCTCGCCGACGCGAGTCTAATGGGGGGGAGGTAACAGGCAATAATCTGACGTCACTGTGATGCCACCTATTCCCTGATTTCCCGTGTTTAAAACTGTAGTAGTCATTCATTGAACTGCGAGACTATTTTCTAGGGGTTACATATCCCAAATTAATTTTAATAATATATATATCTATTTTCTAATAATGTATATATTTAAAATAATTTATATATATGTTAATTTTAGTCAGTTTTTATTTTAAATTCTATATTGTAAAGTATCATTTACGTAATATGGCTTTTTGCGCTGCGTGCAGTAACGTGCCGTAGCACTTACAGAAGTATGAAAGGAGAGATATTTTATTTCATGGGACCAAAGGATCCAAATGAAGTATGCTTTTGACGAAAAATGGATACACAAATGTCAAGAAAGATTCTATTAATGTGAAGAGCGGATAAATCTGCAGCGAACATTTCTATGCAGGTTTATGAAGAAGATATGAAAAATCGCTTGTTGGATAGCCACAAAAAGAAACTGTTGAAATGGAATGCTGTGCCGAAAGTAAATTATGATGACAATAATAAATCGAAATTGATGATGATAATAATAAATCAAATTTTAATGATTTGAAATAAAACTTACAATGAAAATATAGATCATCCTGAATGTATAAGGATAAACAAGAATGCATTGATAATTTGAAGAACAAAATTAATATCCTTAGAGAATTGTATTAAATTGTATTAAAGTATTGAAAATAGAGAAAAGAAAAATTTTAGAATGTTTGTTCAGCGACAAAGAAGGTGAACGACATCTAGACAGAAATTGGTATCAGAAATTAAAATCTCAAATAGCGAAATTTAGGAAGGGGAGCACAAATCGGAGAATTTGGAAAAATGTCTAAAGGCCTATTTTTATAAAGATGCAGATTAATGCATTACTGAAAAAGAAGAAAAAAAATCAGGTAGACTAGTGAAAGATATTTCACGTTGCATTGTCATAAGAGCATTGTCATCTTAAAGCTATGATTTTGGACAGGAAAGAAAAAAAATTACGAAAAAAATTGGAATATCTTTAGCTAGTATTAGCAAAATTAAAGAAATGGTGTTTATTTTATTTTTAGTGTTTTTCTAAATTTTAGTGTAGTCCAAGAATTCAAAACGTAATGTTCTTACTCGAAAGAAGGAAAGAGGCGAATAATTGTATTCTGTAGAAAAAATATGCGTTCTCAGTTTCGATGAAATACATATAGATTGAAAACTCTGCTATGACTCTAAAACTGGACTAAGTTGGTTCTTTTTCAAAATGTGCAGTTTTGTTTTAATCAGAGGTCTCATTTCGAGAGCTGCCTCAAATACTGAGAAACCGTGTTTTAGATAGAGGATTTGTTTTAGAATATGTAACTGTTTTAAATTTGATATTATTAAAGAGGTTTAAATAGAGATTGAGAAGAAATCAAATTGTGTCACAAACTAAAACCAAATTATTTAATGGTCAAGGGAAACGAGAGACAAAAAGGTCGCTCCAGAGAAAACATTATTTCAAAAAGTACCGCAAAAGGTTATACTCTACCCCACAGGAAATCAGAAAGCATCTGACTTCTATGAGTTAATCGATAATATCTTCAGTATTATGAATAGTACCAAAATAGCACCAACAAAAATAACAAGTATTTAACAAAACTAATTTTGTTAAGTACTTGTTAAAGTTATTCTTATTGTATCCTTTGTAAACTAATTATTGATTAGATTTTGTGCTAGATTAGCATTCCAGATAAAATATAATAGAATAAAACATCAAAAGTAATTGGCATAAAAAGACCTGCTTCCTTTACTCACACTTTTGAAAAATTAAATAACTGTTTTAGGTACTCTGAATAAAGCTATTTTGTCAAAATTAAGGTAACAATCTTAATACATTTATTTTTAATTGTAATATAGATATAAGTATAAATTCCAAAATTATTTTAAAAATATCTATTATATTGAATCGGAAGAGAATTATA